TAATGATGCACTGCAACGTGCCTGCAAGCTGACCTGACCACGCGGGCAACTGTCGACGTACAAGACTTAGGCTACGAAGTAATTGCCCGCGCGCGAGTCGCAGACGTCTTCCAGCATGGCCCTGGTCCGCGCCTTGGACTCCACGAACGACAGCTCGTGAAACCCAAAGCGCCGCACGGCGGCGATGACGCCGAGGTTGCAGGGGGTGCAGCAAGGGGCGTCGAGCATGTAGTAGCGCCACAGTTTCGCCTCCTCGTCGTAGCGCTTGTAGTGCTCGTGTACCCTGTATCCCACCCCCCGCAGAGTGACGTCGCAGCCGCACACGCGGCAGCATACCGTGCCCGTCGGCGGGCTCGAGTAGGCCGCCGCGAGCTGCAGGAGCTCCTTGTTGGTGAGGTCGGCGGACCGGCCGGCCCGCACCTCGTTGAACGTGTGGTACATGTTCTTGAGCGCCTTGAGCAACGCGTCTTCGGTCTGCGTCTCCGTGCCCTCGATCCCGTCTATCCCGGCGCGCTTCCCGTCCAGGTTCCGCGCCACCGCTTTTTGGTGCTTGACGTCCGCAACAGCTGCCAATTTCTTCCTGGAATCCGAGCCCTCGGCCTTGTTTCTCTCCTTCTGCAGTCTTTTCGAGTCCAGCGGGCCTTTCCAGCCGAGCTCCCGCAGCAGCCCGATGCCGCCCTCCATGTCATAGTGGTCCGACAAATCGAGAACATAGCCGCCGTCGCCGGCGGACGGGAAATACGGCACGCCCAACGCCGCGAGCGCCTTGCAGAGAGGCACGACGTGTGCGTTTGTGCCCCGTAAAGAAAGAGGCACGTCCGTGAAAACGGCCATGCACAGCATCTCGCGCGACTTGTCTTTGGGGTACATGACCTTCTCCTTGAGCTCCTCGACCGTCGCCGGCCGGACGCCGTCGTGGTCCTTGAGGCACTCGAAGACGGGGTGCAGCGAGTCCGGCACGTAGCCCTCGTCGCCGGAGCGCGCGAGGAAGGCGAGGCACGACGCGACCCAGGCCTCGAACCGGTCGAATTCGGCCTGGGTGTACTGGCCGCCCGCCCCGAGGCCCCACGCCTTGGCCGCGCTCGTCGCCGGCGTTTCCGCGGCGGGCGCGGCGTCCGGCGTTTCCGCGACGGCGTCCGCGTCGAGGCGGGGCGAGGCCGTCCGC